GTTTAGTTTTACAAAATATATAAATATAACTTAAAATCATTTACACTGTTATTATTTCAGAAAACTGATTGTTCCACCATATCTGTAGTTATCTAAATCATATTCATAACACAAGACCAAAATTATACATACTTTTTTCATTTTTATCTTTTTCTGCCTGGCATTTTTGTCTTTTTCTGGGTTTGCTAGGCCCACAATGGGGCAGTCAAGCCAGAAATATCCAGGCCAGTCGAGCGCGACTTTTAATTCAAATATTTTTGGGACTAACAATTCTTCATCGGCAACATAAGTATAGAATTATTCTTGAATCCATAATAGACTATAAAAATACATTCACTTGTATATTCGGAATTTAAAATGATTTTAATGTTACTGATGTGAGACATTAGTATCGAAACATTCCCAATTAAGTTTTTGACTTCTTGATGACTGTTTCAAAGATGTTACATTGAAAACTGTATTGAAATGCTATTTTCTTGTTTAGAAGATAAAATTTAATGTAAATAAAACATTTATTTTTCTGTTTTTCTATTTTCTTTATTTGATAAAGGTTTGGCTCTATAGAGGATTTATCACACACTATTGACGTTTGTATAAGTATTCGGAACCTTCGTGCTCATATATCCAAAATCAAAATATAAGGACAAAAAGCAAATCACCAATTATTTGATAAAGTTATGTTTTAAAAGTATTAATGAAAAGAAACATAATTATTTTCATTATTCTGATTATCACTATACACAATAAAATGAATTTGGAACGAAAATCATCAAGCGTTTTTCTTTAGGTTTTGAACTGTCCTGTTTGCATTAAAAAGGCCTTTTTTACAGGTCTTTCAAGGGTTAGGCCCACAATGGAACGACCGGGAGGTGAAGAACACATTTCCAATGAAAAATTTTAGAGGTTTTTGACTCTGCCTCCAAGTTGACAGATTAATTCCTTAATGTCGCGGCCATTCGATGAACCATAGTAGTTACCACAACGAAATAAGAAAGAAGATAAATGAATGATATCAGGAGATTATTTTATTCAGGCTCTGTTATGTATAAAAGAGTGAAAGTATGCCAATCGGTCAAAAAATGACCCACTAAGATTTTTACATTTTTGGACTTTTCTGTATGTATGGATGTTACTGTTTGTTCACCCTTTTGAAGTTTAATAACTTTCTGTTCTTTTTGTCGAAAATTTCTGAAATTTTGCAGGGCAGTTTATTTATGACGGAAATTGATGCTATTAAATTTTGGTGGTTAAATATCGAAGGGGTGGGGAGATAAAGGGAGGTCGTGTGTCATATCTCGAGGAGGGTCGGACTTTTAGTAACGAGTATGACGATTTTACTAGTTATTAGCATTTACAATACTTTTTTTTATAAAACCCATCCCTATCCTTAAAATTAATCGTTTTACCATTCTATAATAATTAAAACTGTAAAAATTTTTAACATAAAATATCATAACAGATGGCGCTACACATTCAGTTTTAAATGTCGCAGGAAAGTTTAGCAACTGGTGCTGGATTTTTTAAAATGTAAATAATTTTAGAGGAAATAGTAAGTAAAATAAAAAGCGATGTAAAAACTGCAATAAAAATTTGTGTTTGTAAATATTAAATAAATATGATAAATTTAATATTACAGGGCTTATGATGCTGATGGAAAAGAACGAGGACGATTTATAACATGCCTCTATAAACCTGGGCGTGAATGTAATCATGGAAATAAAATAAAATAATATGACAGATATGTTAAAAATCATGGTGATTGCAAAATTCAGTAAATAAAAAAAGTAATGCTATTTAAGTTTCTATGCATAATAATGCTTTCAAGTCTCACTGAAATCAAAATAGGAGAAAAAGTATTCAAGATGACTGTATATTAGAAGATATGAATAATCAGAAAATATGGAAAAGTGAAAGTTTAAAACATAAAATAAGAAAGAAGAACGTAAAACTTAATTGGATCAAACTTCTTTGAAACAAAAACGGAATCAATAAAAATTAATAAAATCACTACTACAGAAATAATAATACTAAAAAAAATTCTTAACAAAATAAGAAAATATAAAATAAGTCTAAAATAGTATGCACACACAATATTAAGCATATAAATAAATAAACAAAAAGCGGAAGAATATAATGAAAAAACATAAATACTAGTAAAAGAACACAAACTAAGATTATGATAAATCGGGATTTTAAGAAATAAAAAACAGCTGTTGAAAAATATGAAACTGACTATAATAAAAATTACGAAACAAACCGAAAATTCCAAGGTATACAAGCAAAAGAATTATTTATAAAATATATCAAAAACTTTATTGATTTACTATGCTAATTAATATAGTCGTCTGAATTATGATATGGAAGACGTTCAGTGAAGCATTTCACGACCAAAGAGAGCTTCAGCATTTAATTTCGTTTAAAATGAAGCTTTAATATATTTTTTCTTTCGAATGATACGTCTTACTATTATTTTAACAAAAAAGAGATGTAGGGCAAAGAGCTATGTTATAAAAATAAATAACAGCTCATTAATGGAGCTAGAATATTCAGGCACTAAAATTCATATATATATTTATATGATTTTTAACGCTTAGATGTCATATCTCTATTCATTAAACATAATTAGTAGTGTTTTTACTAACGAAATGAATTATTTTGATTTAAACGCAGAAGTAAAGTATTAATGTAAAAGAATTTTTACAGAAGATAAAGAATAAGATACGATATTTCTCAGAATACGTTAGTATTAGTATAAAATCAGTAAATAATTATATTCTGTAAGAAATCGGGGTGACTAAATTAGTAATAATATAGTTATGTAATCAATATTTAGGTTTATAGTTAAAATTTAATTTTTAATATACCGTATATTATTTTTCTTTTTAAGCTCTTACTGTTTGAAACTTAATCAAGTATTTTTATAAATGTAGGCCTATTAATGTTGATTAATTGATCTTTCACATGCTTTTCACTATTTATCTCCAGCTATCAACCAATTAGCAGAACAAGTTTATATTGTAATCCTAACTATATATTTTACGTAGAAAATTAGATTTAAAAATAAACATCGTGTTATATTATAGAGTGTTATATATAGAGAATATAGCATGTATCATTTTCAATTAATTTATAAAAATATATCACTTAAGTTAATAAAACTGTATATATGTATTATGTATGTATACATATAATGAGTTTTATTAAGATTTGTACGGAAAAATGTTTTTAGAATGTTTCATTTTAAAGCATTTGAATTTTTAAATATTAAATAGATCGAACTAATTTAATTTTCATTAAAAAAATATAAACAATTGAGTTTTGTCTTATCTTGAATTTTAATTATTTTTGGAGAAAGTGGAAAGTATGAACCTATGAACTTTTATTTCTTATTGAATTAATCAAGACTTTAAAAATAAATTAATTCTAATTACTAAGAATTTTTAATCGAGAAATAGGAGTAAATGCTTTTATTTTTCAGTTTATGATACAAATTTTTAAAGTTTTGTTTTATAATTTGAGAAAGTTGACGGATATGACACTGGCATCTTATCATATTTTTATGTAGATTTATCACATAATCTGCATTTTAAACGATTCGATCTGCTATCTTAGATATTGGAAAATTTGATTATCAATCTACGATTAAAATATATTTTCATGCCTAAGTTTAGAATTATGATAATAACTTGTAATCCCTAAAAGAAGAATTATACGTGTGTAGATCATAGATTAAAGCATGATAAAATATTATAATTTGTATTATATAATAAAATTATAAATTAATTATATTTATTATTATTACAAAAATTAATTATTCATTAAATAAATTATATAATGTCTGAAGTTTTAAGCTTCCGTACAAAAGACCTTAATAGTTTCAGATATAAATAGCAATCGTTTAAATTCTAAAATCTATCTCAACGAATGCATTATAGAAAAATTTTATCTTAATTTATTTGTTTTCTACAATATAAAAATATTTTTGTATCTTTGTGTTGATATTAGTTGTATTGATATTATAACATATTATCAAGTTTGTGTAGGGAATTTTTGATAATGATTAGTAAAGTATTTATTTTGTTTCGAATGAATAATTTAAATTACTCATTATATTTGATTTTTTTTAAATTTATATTGTTTATAACTGAAATTTAATTATAAACAATAACTATTAATTTAAATTTATAATCATTTATTATTTAATTTAATAAATGTAACGGAAAAAAACCTAAAGGAAAAAAGGAGCAAAAATATAAATGCCAACTTATTTAGTCGATTATATTATTCTCTTTATAGTTAAAATATACATAAATTATTTAATATAAAATTATATAAATAATGTATAAACACCTTTAATATTTAATAAATTATTTCAGATAATCAATTTTTTATTATTATTTGATGCATACTTTTAAATGTAACTTATCTAAAGAAAATATAACTATAATTTTATTTAATTAGATACAATTATTTGATTTTTATCAAATTATTAAATAAAGTACAGTCGACACCCTATAACACTGTTGATAATTCCGTTTTATATGAATTCCGTGTTGTACGAGTCACTTAGATTTTACAAATACCTGTGCTGTGAACGGCTCACGTATTTGTAAAATCTAAGTGACTCGTACAACACGGAATTCATATAAAACGGAATTATCAACAGTGTTATAGGGGGGTCGACTGTAATAGAATTGTACTAAAGATTTTTCCGTAGTACTGATTTTAAATCCATACTATGGAAGAACCTTTAATTAACTTAATCTTAAGTTAAAACTATTAAAAAATTAGCTTAAATTTAGAAAAAACTTTTATAAGAATAAAAATAAATTTTTTTATATTTAAATACATTTTTTAATTTCAGAGAAATGCCTTTGAATTTAGATCTAATTTTATCTTTAAAATATAAAAACAAATGCGTGAGCTCGTACGTATAAATTTTAATATTTTTATCATCATCTATTAAACTTTCGAAAATTTGGGGTAGTCCCATTGTTGATAAACATATGGGGTAGTCCCATATGTTTATCAACAATGGACAGTTCTGAAAATTAAATAAATAGCGTGTTATCAGAAATGGATAGTGAACAGGCGCAGGAAGGGCATAGAACGTTTCTAATCGTTAACAATTTTATCAGATATTGCGAAAATAAAAAAGGTCTCACAAAATTGTTTATTAAAAGTCATATAGTGTAGTAATTTCGCACAGTTGACTTTAAGTTTTTGAGGTCGTCTTTTCAATAATGACAGTGGAGAGCGAGCAAGTGAGTTAACATTATACGTTAGCATTATATTACATAACATTCTATAAATATACTTAAATATTACAAATCAATTTTAAATTTAATAGTGAATAAGAATTAAGAATTTTTTAATTATTAGTTTGCATAATATCAATAGTAATAATGCTAAACTTTTAAATTTTTAAAACGAGATGGTTTAATAATTAATAAAATGTATTGAACTTTTTGTAGCTGTCAGGTCATTGTTCTTATTAATATAAACTTGTATATCTTTATAATAATATAATAATAATTTGTATAATATTAGAATGCATTTTATAAAATATCGTCTTGCATTTATCGGAATTAACCACACTGTCTTATCTTTATAAATTTATTTAGGAGGATACTGTTGATCATAAATGGAATCAAGAAACTTCTGGACATCATGATGGTTTCTACAGTAGTGCTAAAAGCTATAAAGATGTGTTTAGTTTTAGGTAAATATCTGGAAATTAAATACATCTTTTACTTTAAAAGATTTTTTTGTTTGTATTTTAATTTTTTTCTACATTTAATTAACATAGCTATAAAGATTTGTTAGGAAGTCGAGCTGATGGAGAAAAGGACGAAGAAGGAGAACCGATAAAAAGAAAAAATACGACGAAAGAATGGTTAACACTCATCACTTTAGCCTTTGCAAATTTCAGTGTCGGTGCTTGTGTATCATTACAAGCACCGTTCTTCCCAAAAGAGGTATTTCTTATTGATTTTATACAATTCAGCATTAAATTTACATTTTTGCTATAAGTACTGATATTTCATAGAAACGTCTTTTACTTAAATAAATTTCTTATTTTTAAAAATTAATAAGTGTAAACAATTATAATATCTAATTTGTTAGGGTAAAATTTAAACTCGTGATTTTTAAAAGTAAAGTTGACCTTTCTCTAAGCTTATTTAATATCTCGGTTCAGAGAACTTTTCCCTAAGCAGCGAAATGTTTGTATTGTCTGGTGTCTAAGGTCAGAATAATCTACTCTTATCTTTCTCTATTTAAATAACTTTCCTCAAATAATATATTAAAAGTATTTAAACATTGAAATAAAGTTATAAACTATTTTTAATATTTTCTTTAATAGAAGATAATATATTGTTAAAATGATAAAATATTTATCAATAGTTATAACATTACAATTACTGTACTTGAAGATGAACAATAAATACGATTACAAAATTAACCGATATATCAAAGAAATTACAAAATAAATATGGTTATGAAATTTTTTTTATTTTCAATAAAAAATAATTTCAACATTTCTTTTATTCGTAATTGTTTTTATAACTGATCTTTAATTTAAAACTTATCACTGATCAATTGGATTAACTTATCTAGTAATTTCCGTGTGTTATGTGGTAAGATTTTTTTTCATATATTTATAAAATATCAACAAATCTTACTATATAACGCAAGAAAAATTACACTATAATAAGGAAATCGCTTAAGAAAATTTTTGCAATAAAATAATTTCTCCATTGCAAAACTCAAAACTCCAATAAATACACGAATTAAATAAATGATTAACTTTTATTTACATGAAAGTATAAATATAAAATTAATTCTATGCTCATCAAATATTTTATTTCGCCTAAAATAGTTACAACTATTTTATATAATTTTAGTTAATTATTATGTTTCGAATAAATGAATGATGGTTATTTGTATTCTACATCTAAATTATTTGTTATTTGGTAAAATATACCCGTGTAAATTTGTTATATTTTGTTTTATTTGCCTACTCTTTTTCGTTTTAATTAATTTAAAAGTTTCTAATGAAATACAATAAATTAATTTGATTAATAAATTTGATTTGGAACTTATTTAATATTTCTGGTGTAGCATTTAAATGTTTCTGTCTTTAAGTTTTGCATAAGAATTATATGCTAATTTATATAATATACTAGCTGTTACCCGCGACTTCGCCCGAAATTTCGAAATTTGCCCGCGGGGTAGAGGGAGAGGATTAAGGCTTAACCGGAAAAACGGCTTCTACTGTACTATTTTAGATGCGATTTTTCGTTTTCAACTACGTTTAATTTTCATTGAGCACTTAGATGTATTGAATTGATAACATTTCAGACATTGTTCTAAATATTTTCATATATTTCGATTTTTTAACCAAATGTTCGAATCGTTTTAAATTCGAATTTGTTATTGCATATTGTTTCGATTATAGAATGATTGTAAAAACGTTCCAAATTGAAAATAGTTATTTTGATTCTCAGCAATTCTCATCATTCTCAGCGGTAGGTGTTATATAACAATTACTATGGTTGTTGAAATACTGAATATAAATGGGGTTTGCTTGCAAACTCCTCGCGGTCAAAGCCGCGGGTAACAGCTAGTTATAACTATAAATTACAACTACGTTGCAAAATTATTTTATGAAAATACAAAATTCTCAATTACAGCAAGGATTTTAAAATTTATTATAAACAAAAAATGTAATGATATGTAGAATCTGTGAATGAAAGTTAGTAACAGCAGCGTCACTAGCGTTGATGTCACCCAGTGCGGTAACTCGTGGTGTCACTCTCGTGGATCTCTTTTCGTAAGACCACAGGGCATGTTTAGAAATGTTTACTAATTCCCGAATGTTACCGAATATAGTAGCAATAACACAAACAACAAGAAAAATTAAAATTACATATTACAATATCATACTCACGGCTTATGTGTATTTACATTTATTTATTTATTTATTCGTAATATAATATTAATGACAGCTCTGATTGGAAGGATAAAAAGTAAATTAGCATATTTTTTGCATTGTAGGTATACAGGGTGTTTATAAATAAATGGTGCGGTTTTAAAAATTAATAATAAATCTATTTATTACATTATATGAACAAACCTTACAGCATAAGCAGCGGCAACTGTCCAAGTTTTTTATGCATTAATCACAGTCCTTCAATATGTGCACCCATGGTCGCACGACACACATCTGCACAGTAATCAAATTCTTCTCATACGCGGTATAGCATGTCCTCCGTGATGGTCTGCAGTGCATGCTTTATCCGATCACACAGTTCCTCAGGGGACACGGGCATTGACTGTACATAAACTCGGTCAATGTTCGAGATTAAGGTAATAAATAGATTTATTGTTTATTTTTAAAACCGCATTATTCATTTATAAACACCCTGTATATCAATATATCTATCTACAATGCTAAAATTTATTATTGCAGAGCTTACAAAAAAAAATGTTTTTATTGTTATAACTAATTACAGGGATATTAAAAAATACAGTAATTGCAATAATAAACTTTAGCTGAAACACTGCACAAAAATTCATATCAATGTCACCGGTACGGTCTGTACCCCCTGCACCCCTTCCTTAGTGATGCTACTGGTTAGTAACAAAATAGAATTTTGTGCTTTTTATCATTTACGCAAATCTTCAATATATCAAATTTCTCATTAAAAATACTTTTTGTAGACTGTTTATATTTTTTTAGCCTGTTATCATCCATATAGATATACAGTTCAATCGCTAGTAGGTGTTTTTATCATACATTTACTTGCGATAGTTCTGATAGTGTTTTGGCACATTAGAATTGTAATTATTAGGAATATTCGGAGATCTCATTAAATTAATGGCGTATTGGATGAAAAAATTTGATTTTTGAAAATATATTCTCATCTTCGGTTATCTTTCATTTTAAAATACAAAATATCAATATATTATTTTAATTCTTCTAAATTATTTCTTCATTTCACTCTACCTTCCTTCCAAAAAGGTAATTTTCGAAAACGAATTACCAATTTTGTGTTCAAATCGAAACTAACCGCATTAACGATTGGAGTTGTAACCTTTCCATAATTTTTAGGAAAAATTAAAATAAATACAAAAGTAAAAGATTTTTATTAAAAGAAGATATAGAAGATTTAGAATCAATTTTAATTTCAAATACTTGTAACGAACTCAACTTTTAACGCAAAGAGAGGAATCCTGTTCAGACATTGGGTAGTGGTATGGCATTTATGTGACTTTTTTAAACTCTTTCCTCCATGTGTTACCAAGATTTTTAATTCAGACACATCATATATTTGATCAGGCTTATAATAGAGATAATCGGGGAGTGAAGAATGAGTTTATTTGGGATAAACTGCTCAAAAAATATTTCTAAGATTTCTGACCCGACTCGAACCCTTTACTAGGACGAATGACAGGACATACTATGGGATAGACAACAGACCGGACAGCAATTAGCAAAACTCAGAAAAATACTTCAAGGAGAATTTTTTTTACAGTTTCTAACATTTTAATTATTTTTAAAGCCTGGTTTTTCTTGATTCATTTACGTAGAAATTAATTTTATTAACAAGTAATTAATTCGATTACTTTAATAAATTAAAACATTTAAAACAAATTCTTGCATATTTTTATAAATTGCTTTTATTGAAACTAAAAAATTTACAGTGTTCCATCTTAAATTTTGATTAAAAATAAATATGTTGATATGTTAATATAGAAGATTAAATTAAAGATTTTCTGATTAGTTACTAATAATTCTAGCCCTAGTCTTCTCGTAAGAAATTCTCCTGAATCGCCATTAAACGCTAATGTTAATTTCAACCCGCTCAACTGGAGCGTTATACATTCATGGGTCGCGGGCAAATTTGAATTTGGGGCCCTTGTAGAGTACAATGTTGACTTCAGACATTTTTCTTCGAGAAAATTATTAAAGGAATCCATCGGTATCCACTTGAATTCAACACTGCCCGTACAAAACCAAAAGAATTTTAGGTAAAATTTCATTAAAGGCAAAATAAAATCAGATGTGACATTTATGAACAATAAAATGCAATCTCTAAGAGAAATTCATTAAATAATACACTTAACTGAATAAGTATTTACTTTTATTATACCAATAATAAACTAGATTAATTAATTAAACAAGAATTAGAATAATACACAGTGTATGTTCTTATACTTACATAATACAATCATTTAATTCAACAAAGAAAACAACTTTTTATAAGAAGTTCTGCGCTTCGCCTGCCCAGATAATCTGGAATTCCTAGATATGCCTCCAAATTTAAATTTCTATATTCTTACTAAGATAATGAGTTTATAAAAGATTGGTTTGGGACCCTAGACAATTGCACTTTTTTCCCATAGGATAACGCGCCACTGACTCGCTCAACGTAAACTGCATTGCATCCAGTAGACATAAAAGTCTTTAAAATTTAAATACACTGCTGGCCATTAAAATTGCAACACCAAGAAGGAAAGCAAATAAAAAAAAGATATTTATTGTATGTAAACAGTATGGCATGAAGACAAAATGATTAAATTTGCAAGCAGTTTGGGGGTTTACAGGGGTACGAAATTAGTACACACATTTGCCACCTAATTTGCCACCTGGCAGCTAAAACGTCCCTTATCCGGTTAGGCATGGAGTCAAACTTGGCTTGGATGACAGAAATGGGCAACTCATTCCATGCTGCTTCAAGTCTATGCTACGCTTTATCAACCGTATTAGCTAGAAAGGGGTGGCAGGCCAGTCTCTCAGCAACCCATGACCAGATGTTTTCAATTGGTGAGAGATCTGGAGACCATGCATGCCAGGGCAACAATCGAATACCCTCTGTATTGAGGAAGGTCAGAACACGACGTGCAACATGAGGTCTTGCATTATCTTGTTGGAAGATGGCATTTCGCAGGCCTCGAAGATAGGGCACAACCA